TTTTTTTGGCTTTTTATTTGGTTCAAGTGCAATGGTGAATGGTTTTTAAGGCCTTTTGGGGTTTAATGTTTTGGTGGGTTATTCCATTTCTATTAGTTGTTCAGTCTAATTGTCTAATTTGTATTTGTTAACTACGTGATCCAGCTGAACCTGTCAGCACAGTGTCAGAATCTGAGGTTGTGCCCAAATTGGCTGAGCAAGATGTGGTATGTCATTCATAGTAACTCTCAGATGTTGGTTTGTCGAGTATTCTGACTATTCTATCATTTGGGTTGAACTGTTGGTATCTGATTGTTATTGATGTAATACATGATTATTCTTCTGACAGGATTCTGCAAAAGATGGACTACCATCTGATTCAGTGTCTGTTATCTCTTCAGCAGATGCTACTTGCGGCATGAAAGGTGAGAGTCCTCGAGGTTTGGATGGAGAGCAGGGTGTCAATCCACCTACTAGCTGTTACAATTATTACTACCCAGGTTAGATAAGAATAGACCTGGTCTTGTTGATTTTCTAAAGTACTAAAAGCTTTGAGGAAAGAACATTTTAGCTCTCTTCACTCAATTTATTAGCAACATATGGGCCTAGATGCACTATGCACGTGTACATTCATGATCATCAGTTGGATTTAGAAATAAAAAATGTACTAACTTTCAATCATTCTATTCTATTTATTTATTTTGTTGATCAAAAAAATTCTATTTATTTATTTTCTCTTCCTTTTTTTTTTTGTTTTCAATGAGTTACTTATTCTTAGAAATTGTGTTTAACTTTGAAATCTTTTGGCAGGATACAATGGGCCCTTTGCTCAACTTGATGATAATGGTTATTTTATTACAGATGGTCCACGTACAGTATGTTCTTCTACCAATTTCCATAGTTTAGATGAACTCATGTTGTCTTCCCTTAATATTGATATTTCTATTCCACCAGCATTGTGGCATTAACTGGATTTACAAATTCAAAATGGTAACTGTTCTGTTTCTTGTTGATTTTACCCCAGGATATGCCGTCAGAAAATGGTCCGCTGGTCTATTATTTGCCAGGCTACAGTCCATATGCAAATGGCACTGTAATGGGTGTTGATGGGCAAAATGTGGGTCAACAACCATATTTTTCTTCAGGATTTCTCCATTCTCCTGTTTCTTATGGATCAGATGCATATTCATGGGATTCTACATATTCTGGAGATGTTTCCAATAGAAATCTTGACAGTTATGGAAGTGGGAAATATGGTGCAGGTTCTACCACTTATGCAAAGTCAAATGGATACAACTCTATGAAAACAAATGGCAATCTTGGTGGCAAATTAGCAAAGCCTGCTTATGCACAATCCTACAAACCAACAAGCAAGGTAGCTGATCCTCAAATTTTGATTAAAAAATACCTCTAATGGCAAAAAAGCATTGTTTGAATTCTTTGGAATCTGGATCAGTATTTTGTTTTCAATCATTTTATGAAGAAGACATTTATTTTATTTATTTTTTTATTTTTTACTTTTTATTGTTTTGGGTATTCTATTGTATTCATGAAGAAAAGGTGAATTAACCCTGAAACTGCAAATTTAGCTAATGCCTGGCAAGACTCCTTCATGTGTCTGAAGAAAGGATGGATTAGCCTTTTTGGTTGTTACATGAATCTAGTCTTGTGCTGTAAAATAAAAGAGGCTATAAATTTACCCTAGTCATCTCCTCACCCTTTGAATCCTCCAACCTCTTATCTTTTCTTAAATTTTCTGAATCTCCCAGTTCTATTATAAGGCTGGTAGCAGTAATTAAATTTTTATTATGTGAACTATTTATTTCCAAATGATGTTAAACAGCAGTATGTAAAGATGTTTATGCTATTATGGCAAAAAAAGGAAGATGTTTATGCAATTGAATCTTCTTTAGGATTTCAATGTCCTGACTGTCAACATTCCATGTTTCAGGTGCCTTTTTTTGTTTCTGATCAAGGGGCAGGGTCCTTCAAGGGATACCAATCAGCAGGAAGATACTCGTCATTTAACAACCAAAAGGCAGGGGTTTACCCACATAACAGTCCAATGTACTACAGATCGAATGGAAGACATTGGAATCAAAATGATAGATACAAAGCATCCAACAGGAATACTGATTTTGAAAACTCACCCGAACCAACTCGTGGTCCTAGAGCCTATGAGAAAACTGCTTCATTAGACTCTTCCATCAAGAGTGAAGATCTGGGGCTATCTGTACGGAGAGATCAATATAATCCTCCAGATTTCCAAACTGAATATGAAAATGCCAAGTTCTTTGTTATCAAGTCCTATAGTGAAGATGATATCCATAAGTGCATTAAGTATGATGTGTGGTCAAGTACTCCAAATGGCAATAAGAAGCTAAATGCAACTTACAATGATATAGACGCAAAAGAAAGTGAAAATGGTGCAGAATGTCCCATCTTTCTTTTTTTCTCGGTGAGCAGCCTATGTTTACATGTTTTATTTTTTTATTTAGTTATTTTAGACATATCAGATATTTAACATCTAAAATTTAAATTAAAAAAAAAAAAAAAACTGTTGGAATCAATTTCCCTTTTTGGCTACATCTATATATTGATAATCCTGGTATTGTATTGACATTGTAATTCCAGGTCAATGGAAGTGGGCAGTTTGTTGGCTTAGCAGAGATGGTTGGCCAGGTGGACTTTAATAAAGACATGGACTTTTGGCAACTTGACAAGTGGGTTGGTTTTTTCCCTGTTAAGTGGCACATTATAAAAGATATTCCTAACAATGAGCTGCGGCACATCATCCTAGAAAACAATGATAACAAGCCAGTAACTTTTAGCAGGGACACTCAAGAGGTATTTTGCATTTTTGCTAATTGCTCTCCCTAGAAAACATCATTATTTTGTATGGTTACCTACATTGAAAGTGATTCTGCTTGTGGGCTTAGTTTCCTCGTTTATGTGTAAGAAGAGTTAGGATAAGAAGCTGTAGAGAAAAACTTTTCAAACAAGACAAATTACAGTCTGTCACACAAAAAATGGAGGAAACTCCTCTATGCTTCCTTGTGTTTCTGTTACTTCTTTTTGGTTCGTCATATATAATGTAGTATCCAATGGAATGCCACATTCAGGAAATTGTAGAAATGATGTAAACATTAAATGCATTCGTCATCATTCTTTTTTAGCTACACATACAATAATTGAGAGACTAGGAAGTGAATTTGTTAAGTTTGACTTTCTGAATCATGCATCTCCTCCCATTGTGAAATTGTTCTGCCTTGTAGTGCATGCATCTCCATCAGGGCTCTCATGTGTCTACTATTACCAACCTTCTGATGCTTTCTCTTGAAGTCTTATTTTAGCCTGGGATGATGGTTACTAAGACTTGTTCTTGTGATTTGCAGATTGGTCTCAAGCAAGGCTTAGAAATGCTGAAAATTTTTAGTAGTTACACTGCAAAAACATCATTGCTAGATGACTTCAGCTTCTATGAACATCGACAGAAATCTCTTAATAACAAAAAGTACACCAAGCCTGCTACTCTACGAATGGAAGTATACGAGAGCAATGATTTCACTGTTAGTTCCTTCTCTAGCATCATTTCTAAGTTTGCATGTACACAAAAAAAAAAATATATATATATCATTTCTACATTTGCAAACAAGCAATATCTGAAAGACTCTGCACTTGTTATTATCTTTGTTTAGAAATTTCTCATTTCATCCTTTTATGGGGACCAAAAAGTTTAAATTGGGCATACTCTATGCAGAAGCAAAGAAAAGCTGGTGAAAGGAAAGTAGAAGAAGACTTAACAAGGATCGAGAAAACTGTGGGTGGCACATCTCTCATCAATCTTACAAAAAATCTCTCCCTTAATGGAGGTAGCCGCAACACAAAGAACAGTGCAGTAAAGAATCCGATAGAACATTCGATAGCTTCATTAGCTGCACCATAAGCATTTTAGAGATTCCAGGACCCAGAGAGGAAAATCAGTTGAGTTGTACATTGCTTTTCTTTCTAAATTCATCCATAGCTGCAAGTGATGAGCCCCAAGCTGAAGTGGGCATTTGTTAAAGACATTAAAGTTAGTTTCATTTTCATCAATCAAATTCTTTGTTTTTATCTTTCTATCTATGCTTGGAAACTGTCTCTCACCTATTACCTCGATAATCATGGTTCTTCCATTTGTTAACATGTAATGAATTGCTTAGGCTTTGCTGATTAGTTTTATAGCTCCGAAGAGTTCAGAATGCAAAAAGAGTGACTGCTTCTGCAAAATCCATGGCTTCATATTGTTGTTCTCTTAGTTTCTGGAAAGTAATTCTCCAGAATGAAGAAACAGAAAGCTTACTAAAACTAAGTTTGTGATGCTTTAAATTTTGTTAAATCATTGAAGATATGTATGGAGTTTGATTTCTGAAGTTAATGACATGGGACAGTAATTTTGGCAAATATAAATCTTCTTTGTCAAGTAATGCTTTCTTGCATTCATGGATAAAGGGAGGACTACCTTCTCTTTTTGCCAAAAGAAATTAATACGTAAATGAAGGGAGAATCACTCAACCTTCTACAGAAGTTTTTCCTTAGAATTAGGAGGTTTCTTAACAAAGAAGCAAAAGAAAGTATTATTGCATCCTAACAAGAAAGTATTATTGCATCCTAACAAGAAAGTATTATTGCATCCTAACAAGAAAGTATTAATAGGAAAACTTCCATGGCAATGAAGTTCTAATCCTGCTGTGGAGTGCTTAACTGTGGATGGACCTGCCATTTGGAACTAATCGTTTGGAACTCTGATTTTCTGGTTTTATTCTAGTATTTGCTATATCAGGCCAACCACTAAATACATTTAACAAATTTTCCTAGAAAGTGGATGAGAAGGTGAATTAACATGGTAATCAAGATAAGTCTCTAATTTTCTCAACAACACATGAAAACCTGAACAACATGGAACACCAACATGGCAGGACATACCCTATATTTTTTCTTATATAAACCCAACACCATTCCTTGTTTTCCCCACTCAAAAGCAGAAAGCATATACTTCCGTGTTTGGGGTCTTCAGAACCACTACAATGGCATCTTTCAACAGCTACATCTTGGCTTTCTTCATGGCATTGGCATTGGTATTTTCCAGCATCAACGTTGGCTTGGCAGCTCGCCGGCTTCAGCAGACGCCACCATCACCATCTATCCCCACCGAGCCACAGCATACAGTACCAACATTGCCAACCACCCAGCCAACTCTGCCTTAGCCTGGAGCGCTACCACCACTTCCCAGCATCCCCATCACCCTGCCACACTTTCCACAGTTCACCTTCCCACCACTGCCTAGCATAGCTTCAATCCCCCATATCCCCTTCCCATTGTTCTCTCCACCACCTGCCACCACTAACCCTTGAGAATATGCAGCTTGTTTTCATGAATGTTAGTGTATTTGAGATCAAGTCTGTTAAGTTGGTTTCTTAGCAGTTATTGTTAGTTAATGTCTTTTATGTAATTATGTAATCCATGTTTGAATGTAGCAGTTTGAACTGCATTTTCTTAACTCCTAGTAACTGTGATGTTTGAGTTGTTGTTTTTCTTTGTAAAACAATATGAACGCTTTATGTTTTTTTATGTTTATGTCTTGTTGAGTTATACGAGAAAAACTCAGAATATGTTCTTTGAATATCAATGTTTATGTTCATGCCAATTCAAGTTAAATCTTGAGTTTATGTTCATTTTCACTTGAGTTTTCATGTTTACATCATCAAATTGGTATTAAAGCATATAGTTCTTGAGGGGTCTGTGAGAAACTTTAGAGAGGTGTGAGAGAGTGAAGCATGAGTGACAAGTGAGGAAGAGATTCTTGTTCTTCTATAGCATTTCAGAATGTCTTCTTCAACAAATTCATTTCCTTCTCCTCCAATGTTCAATGGAGAGAATTATGATTTCTCAGCTATTAAAATGAAAGCTTTCCTCAAAGCGAATGATGTTTGGGAAGTCATCGAGCATGGTTTCCAACTTCCTTTTCCATAGGACAACCTAACAGTGGCATAAATGAAAAGAAACATAGAGTATGAGGCAGGTACATATAGAGCACTTTCTTTTCTACATAGTGCAGTGACAAATGATATTTTCCCTAAAATTGCATCTTGTAAGAATGCACAAGAAGTTTGGGAAGCACTTAAAGAAGAGTATGAGGGGAGTGCTAAAGATAAGAGTGTGACACTGTTAGCTCTTAAATGAGAGTTTGAAATGTTGAAGATGAAGGAAACTAATACTATACATCAGTATTCTTCAAAATTAGTTGATTTGGTCTCTCAAATTCGAATACAAGGAGAGAGATTTCTTGATTCACAAGTCGTTGACAAGATGTTGGTTAGTCTTCCTAATAGATTTGAACCTAAAGCTACTGCAATAGAAGATTCTTGTGACTTGAGCAGGCTTTTCATTAAAGCACTTATTGGAAAATTGCAAGCTCATGAAAAAAGACTTGCAATGAGATCTGATGAAAGTGTCGAAGAAGCATTTCAAGCTAAGCATAAGGGGGAATATTCAGTTGCAAGATCAGATTGGAAGCAAGAAGCTAACAAAGTTGAGAAAGGTAATCGACAAGCTAAATCTTCTGGAAATTTGGACAAGAAAGACAAGTTTCCTCCTTTTCCAAACTACAAGGGAACAAATCATCTTGAAAAAGACTATTAGCACAAAGGAGAGCCACGGTTTTACTATAAGAACTACAAAAAACATGGCCATATAGAAAAATTATACAAAGCTAAACAAGTGCAGTACAAGCCTAAGCAAGTGTAGTAGATTAATTACACAAAAGATCTGAATGAGGAAGATTATATGTTTGTAGCTACGCATAGTTGTTTTCTGACTTCAAAGGATTCATGGTATGTTGACAGTGACTGTACAAATCATATGGTTAGAGATGTGAAACTATTTACAAAGTTAAACAGGTTTGTTTGAACAGGAGTCAAAGTTGGCAATGGATATGTAGTGCAAGCAGAAGGCAGGGATAATGTCTCAATTCAAACTAAGGAAGGTATGAAAACTATTTCTGACGTTTTGTACATTCTTAGTTTGAGTCAAAACTTACTGAGTGTTGCATAATTAATGAAGCATGGATATTTTGTACACGTTAAACAAGATGTATGTCAAATTATTGATGTTCATGGTTTTGAGGTTGCTAATGTGAAAATGGTTGATAATAGCTTCCCTCTAATGTGGAGTGATGTTAAGCAGCATGTTTTGATTTCTAAAGAAGATAAGACTAGCTTGTGGTGTAGGAGATATGGTCATTGTGATGTTAAAACTTTGAAGTTTTTGCAATCTTCTCAACTTGTAAGAGATTTGCCAAAAATTTATGTCAGTAATGATGTATGTAAGAGCTGTCAACTTGAAAAAATACATTGAACAACTTTTCCTACAACTAAGGCATGGAGAGCAAGTTAGAAACTTGAATGGATGCACATTGATTTATGTGGCCCTATGAACACACTTTCTCTCAGTCAAAACAAATATTATCTCTTGTTTATTGATGATTTAACTACAATGACCTAGGTGTATTTTTTGTCTAGCAAGTCATGTGTATTCTCTGTTTTTAAAAAGTTTAAAGTGCTAGTTGAGAAGCAAAGTGGCTGCTAACTTAAACCTTTGAGGTTAGACAATGGAAAGGAATATACTTTCAAGGAGTTTGATTTTTTTGTGAAGAGCATGGTATAAATTATCAGTTAATAGTGAAGTGCACACCAGGAAAAAATGGTTAACAGTGAAGTGTACACCAGGAAAAAATGGTGTTTCTAAGAGAAAAATAGAACAGTTATGGAAATGGCTAGAAGCATGCTTTTTGAGAAAAATTTTCCTAAGAAGCTTTGGGCAGAGGTAATGTGTATTGCTTTTTATTTGCTACATAGCTTTCCAACTAGAGTTGTTGAAGGTAAAACTCATGTTGAGGTTTGGTTTAGACTTAGGCCTTTGGCTTATCATTTGAAGGTTTTTGATTCTATATGTTATATGCATGTTCCAACAGCTAGAAGAACCAAGTTGAATGAGAAAGATGAGATGGGAATTTTGGTTGTTTATTTAGCAAAGTCAAAGGGATATAGAATTTATAATTTGCAGTCTTAAAAAGTGGAAGTGCAAAGAGATGTTTTAATTGATGAATCTGCTTCTTGGAGTTGAGATGATAACAAATTATTAAGGAGTCTTTTTCTCAATTAAATGAAGACTTAAATGTTGAACAAAATACAGGTTCTACTTCTAGACATCAAAATGTTGTTGAAATTGATGATGATTCAGCCTCTTTAAAGGTAAAGTAACTTGAAGATGTGTATGCTAGGTACAATTTGGTTACTTCTAATCCAACTTGTTTTATTGAGGCTTCAAAACATGATGAATGGATGGTTGCTATGAAAGAAGAGCTAGTTATGATTGAAAAGAATAAAACTTGGTCACTTTGTCCTAGACCAAAAGGTAGAAATTTGATTAGGATTAAGTGGGTTGTTAGGACAAAGCTTAATCCCGATGGTTTAGTAAACAAGTAAAAGGCCAAATTAGTGGTTAAGGGAAATGCATAGCAGCAAGAAGTAGATATTTCTAAGACTTTTGCACCAGTCGCAAGGTATGATATTATCAAACTGTTGCTTGCTACTTCTACTCAAAATGGTTGGAAGGTTTACCATTTGGATGTGAAATCTGCTTTTTTAAATGGTTTTTTAGAAGAAAAAATCTACATTGAGCAACCAAAGGGGTTCCTTGTTCATGGAAGTGAGGATATGGTTTACAAGCTTCATAAGGCTATTTATGGTCTGAAACAAGCTCATAGGGCCTAGTATGGTAAGCTTGATGCCTACTTAATATAGCAAGTTTCAGAAGGAGTGAAAATGAAGCTACTTTGTATGTGAAAGAAACAAATGGTGATGTACAGCTTCTAGTTTCAATTTATGATGATATACTTATTACTTGTTGTGATATTCGGTAGGTGAAGCATTTTATGTCTTTAATGAAAGAAGGCTTTGAAACGTCAGATCTTGGGGAAATGAGTTTCTTTCTTGGTTTGGAAATTAAGCAATGTAGTGTTGGTTCTTTCTTGTTGTA